CCCTGGCGGCCGCCGTTCCCGCCCGGAGCGGCAGGTTCTGAGGGGTGGGACTCGCAGGGCGGGGGAGAGGCTCCGCCGACCGAGTCTGTAGCGTTAAAGATCTCTAAGCTTAACGCTTGCCTCTGAAAATCGTCATCACCGTTTTCATTTTTTTCTCCCATGTGTGCAGGTGCTGTTTCTTTGGTCCTCCTTGTTCCTCCTCTTTCCCTTAACGACCCTCCCCACAACGAAGACCCGCAAGAAGAAGGAACCCTGCCCTACCCTGAAGACAAATGGGAGTGAGGAAGACAGACAACAGAAATACTGAGAGGTCACCCAGCTCCGTGGGAAACGTTTATGTGAGAAAGGTAGAAGCCAGAGGTGCCCCTGCAGCTCCCGCAGTAACTTCAGGTTACCCCAGTAGGCTCTTCTGTGTCCAGACCCAGCTGGTCCAGAGCTCTTGGCTGTAGATACATGTTTGTGATTCAGGGCCATTTCTCAATTAGAGAAATGGACCTGAAAAAAATTGCCTGAAGTGGCACAGGACTACTTGCTATAGGAAGTGTAGTGCAGTCAGTTAGTCCTCACTGTGGGATAGAAATCCTTTCTGGTTATAACTCAAGTTTGTTTCAATCAGCCCTTCTACAGCAGGTGTTGGTGATTTTCATGCCCCAGTTATCACATCTCTTTGAGCAACAGATTAGTCATCACACTTGTCTCTGAATAGGTACTCCAGGGTAGTGAGAGTTTGAGCTCCAACTGGATGTATTTGACACACAAGAGCCTGTTAAGTGATTATTTAGTCTCTTAAAGTTCCCCGCTTCCTGGCAAAGCCATAGTATGTGTTTCTATAGGCCTCAGTCCTGTTCACCTTGGAACTGCAAGTTTTGGCAAGGACTTTTAACATCCAGTAAGGTGGAGATCAGGTAAGACTGTAATATAAAAACCTAAAAGCTTTACCTCTTACAGATACACTGCCATGTCCTACCAAAGGATATCTGCATCTGTTTCATCACTAAATTAATATCAATCACAGAAAAGACACTTGTGGTCCATGCAGATGGACCTCTGCCAGGAGGATGTTGCAGTAAGTCTGGGTTAAAAGAGATCAGGTAAAGGAGAACTGCCCAGGGGCTGCTGGTGCTGTGGGACTTTTCCCTGTTGGGGACGGCATAGCCCAGCAGCTTGACGCTGCTGGATGTAGGCACCCCTTGGGAGCAGCCCTGCTGCTGACAGCATCCCCCACAAGGGGATCGGGAACTTCTCTCATCTTCAGATCAGTAAGATTCTGCGAGGGGTGATGTTACTAAGATGAAGACTGCCTCAGCTATATAAGCTCTTCCTGGATTTCTCTTTCAAGTTTTTGTCAATCTTAGACTTCAAAAGGTAGGTCTGCAGTTTGAGAAATTCCTGCCTAAAATGCAAGTCCTACAAATCTTTATGTGTGGACTTGGCTACTATTAGTAAGTGTGTGCAGAAAGAATGTGTGGGCCTGGTACCTGCAGGGACGTTTTTCTTTAGAACTTGGACCCCCAGCACTTTGAGCTGAAACTATCAGCAGAGTCAAGCACTCAGCATTTCTGAGCAAGTAAAACTACTCAACAGAACCAGTGTGCACACATCCTAGCACAGCCGATTTAGAAAGACTGCATCGTGTGCCTGTGGCAGCCAGAATGACTGATGCAACCTTTGCTGAGCTGAGCTGCCAAGACCAAGAGAAGAGCACAGGGTCCCACGCACAAAGAGGCCTTCACCTGACCATCAGAGTGACAGAACTTGTGTGGGTAGCAGACTTGGAGCCTAAGATATGTTTTAAGTAGTAACGGAGGAGTGAAATGTGGTTTCTTTGTTGTTTGGGTTTTTTTAAAATAGAAATATATATTTATATATAGTAATTTTCGTCTTCACTTCTGAGAAGAGAGATCTGAGGCTGCCTTCTGTTCAGGCCAGTATGGTGCCTGAGTGGAAAACTGCACTCCCCAGTTTCAGTAAGATGCAACTTAGGCTGGTTCTTGTGAATAGTTGTAAAAGGAGAGTTAACTGCAGCAGAGCGCTGTAATCAAGAGGTCTCCATAGACAGCTTGTCATCCTGATGAGAGACACTTCTTAATTAAGCAAAGATGTTGTCGCTGTAGCTGAAACAATTCTCAAGTGTCCCAACTTCCCTCATCATAGCAATGAGTCTGGAGTTACAGAGCTCCCAACAAGGGGTTTTAGAGGATTTCAAATGAATTTTAAAAGTTCAACACTTGACTATGTGCAGCATGCAGAGAACACATTTCAAAATGTGTTTGAAGAGCAGTAACGCAGTTTTGCACTACTGCAAAGATATTTGAAAGGAAGAGTGTGGGTAGCATCTCAAGTATTGCTGGGGAGACCTGAGATCTATGCACTTCTGTGAAAAGCTCAACTTTACTTGCAGGCAAATCGATTAAGAAGCAGCCCTTGCAACTAAGCTTAACTGATTTCCTGTTTGAGCACCACAATTATACTGATTTGATGATTAAACTTTTTCCGATTAATGGGAAAACCAGAAAGAATCCACGGTCAAAATGACGAACTGTTCAAGCTAATGAGGGAGGACCCCAGTGTTTGTGAAGCAGCTGGTAGCAAGAGTCTGGAGGAGAAGAGGGAAACAGCTGCCTGCAGATAAGCACTGAATTCAAGCACAGGAGCAAAGTGAAGGGGAACGTGCTGGTGTGCTTCAACACGTCAAGTGGCAACGTGGACATGCTGCATGAATATCGATCATCTCACTCAGCTGATAAGTACCCTGAGGTTATGCCTACACCAGTGTGTAACATAGCCCCAGGGAGTGAGCCTGGGTGCTCAGTCCCTGATCATCTGCTCTTCATAACATACTAGATACTCTATTCTGGAGTAAAATTGTTTGCAACAGTCCACATTCAGTACTCTCATTGCTCCTGAAGGACCACCAGTTGAACAAGGCTGTCCTCCAGGGTACCCTGCAAGAGCTACATGTCTACGAGACAAGGGCATGGGCACAGCAAAACCAACATGTGGGCTGGGACACGTTTAGTTTGGTGGCAACTTGGCATTTTTGGAACATGAAAGCCAGATCTCTGAGAAATCATGCAGCAGAGCTACAGGCAAGTCCTCACAGCATTTTTGGTTGCCTTTCCTGGAAGGAGGCTGGTCCCAAAATAGCCCACTGCATGTTTCTCCTGTACCTATATGCTTGACTAAGAAATAATATGAAAGGTGTAGGATAGAAAATGTCCTCAGATGTTGTTTCTTAGCTCTCCTCCTGCCCCCAGGTAAGGGAACCATGTATTAACTGTATGCTGTGGGCTTTGAACTAGGGAGTTTGTACTGACTGAAGAGAGAGAGCACAAAGTGCCCCAGCTTGTCACGGCAAAAGTGAACAGAGTGACGACACCAGGGCATGTGCTGCCTAGAAGCAGGGTCTGTGTGAAGACTCAGTGGGTGCAGATCATGCCCATCAGCAGGTTCTCCATGTGCCCAGTTTGAAAAATAAACAGAAGCAGCGTTAGATCAAGAGCGTGCCAAGGAGTTGACCTGGGTTATGACTACTTGGCTTCTCTGCCCCTTTTACTGTGTAGATGTAACCGTCCTGTTCCTTGCCTTGCTTTGCTCCTTCCGCAAATGTACATGATACGCTCATAATTCTAACTCCGAGGCCAGAGACGTGTTTTCAGCCAGTTTACATGAGAGAATTACCATTCAGAATAAATACATATTTTGGTAGCAGTATGTGCAGCAAGGGCACTGCAGAAATGAAGAGTAGTTGCCATCATATTGTGGCAATGGGGCTCTTCCTGATGGGGCTGGGGGAATGCAGAAACAATAAAGGCATTGTGTCAGGCTTTTCCACGTCTAGCCCTGCCTGGAAACAAAATTTTAAAAAGGGAGAAAAGTAACAAACATCTTAAATGATGCATTTCTTGGGAGCTAACAGCAATACTGGCCAGGTTATTTATATCCTTTTTTGCCCTGTGTTCTCCTCTGACACCAGGCTTCTCAACGGTATGGACCCTGCTGCCTTGTGAGGCTCAGTCTAGACTGCACTAATGCAGTTTAAAACAAACTCTCTGAAGTCTGTCATTTAAAAAATGTGGATCATCTTATGGATCTGACTTAGGGCACAGCCATGTGAACAGTTACTCAGCACAGCTGTATTAATTCAGGCTCTAGGGGACAAGGTGGGAGTAGAGCGAGACCAAATGACTTAAACCTGATCTATTGCCAGTGGAGAATGAAGCTGTGCCCTCTGTGATAGCAGTTGGTGGCTAAGGGAGGGATGGACCTATCTGCATTACTCAGCCAGTAATTCCAGTCACATTCCTTCTGTTCACAGCTTGTTTCCTCAGGATTCTGTCCTCTTCAAGCTGGGCGTTCTCTTTGCCCTTAGTGATATCCCCCATTTGGGAGCTCACCTCACTGTGAGAGCTCATTGTTCGCATTAGGCCTATATGCAGTGCTGAAAATAAAAAATTCTACAGCACAACAGGTTTGCTCACTTTAATTTCCTGCCTAAAGCACACTGTGATTTCTTCCCCTGTTTGGCTCTGTGGGTGGAACAGGCATTTCAGTATACACTGCCACGTTCATTACAGGGAGTTCTTCCGCGCAAGAGATATTAACATCTTTGTTATTACTGCCAGTTCTCTCCTCCCCCGTACCAAGCGGTCCCCTGAGCTAGAATTCCTTTTAAGGACAGACTCCCAGTAGTAGTATTCTCCTCCACAAAGTGAAGAAGCTCTCTTCAGAGGTCAGTTCCTTCTGCTTTCTCAGAATCCTGCCTCCCCCATATTCCTTGGAAAGTCATTATTAAAGATGTCAAAACCACTCACACAAATATCACAGAAATTCGAGAAATTGGTGTCATAATACCCTTTGTAATCATGAACAGCTCAAAACCACAGCGTTTCAGTTAAAAAGTTTTATCCAAGAAAAAATGTTTAACATTTAATATAAAATCAAAGTCTGACATAGCTTATTTTTCAAATGTCATCCTTTTTCTGTTCATCAACTGACAATTAGAAGATCACCATTAAAAAAGTCATCCTAAATACTTTTAAAAGCCTTATAAAAACATTCATAAAGTGCCACCCACAAAAGCACCTAAACAAGAATCTGAGAGAAATACCTATTAGGATGTTAATTTACTTAATTCCTGCTGAGGACTAAGCTGTCAGACAGCAACGTCATTTGTGGAACTGTCAACTTCCCAACCACAACCCAGCAAAAATACCATTCCATAGACATGGCCTCCGCAGAGCATCAGTTGGGCCCACAACATGTGGGGTTTTAAAATAAATAGATGCTAACACCACCTAAACCCAAGAATACCATCAAGTGGGAGATGTCGATTCTAAGGGGAGCAATCATCCCAGGGTGTGGCCTTACCACGAGGGAAATCCCAGGCAGTTTGTAAGGAAAACAGATACATATTTTAGCTGGTTTTTACTGGGATAAAGATCACTCCCCACTAGAAGTAACAGAAAAAGGCACTGATCCTTGGAACATGTCTTATGTCCTCCTCTCTTGAGCTTTGAACATACCATACTGTATAAGCACCTTTCTAATCCCCATCCCCCAAAGACAGGCTCAGGACACTGCAGTGAACATGCACTAGTTCTTTCAGCAGCGGCCTCCCTCTTTGCTCGAGTGTCTGGGCAGCGATCACAGACAGATTTACCTGGAACAAAAGGGGACAGGCTCTGAGGGCTCCCTCCCCCCAAGTTCATGCCCTGTCTGAGGTGTCCAGGAAGCAGCTGTGTGCCTTCCCAACACCAGGATGCTGCCTACGGTGCAGACGGCCGCCTCCTCTCCATCACCTACTCCGTATGGTGCTTCTGGTGGCGTACCAGCTGGGGCTGGAACCGAAAGCTTTCCCCACACTGGGTGCAGCGGTACGGCTGCTCCCCGGTGTGGATGCGGGTATGTTTGATGAGGTTGGAGTTGCCACTGAAACCCCGGCCGCATTGGCTGCATTTGTAAGGCTTCTCGCCGGTGTGGGTGCGAGCGTGGTTAATGAGGTCAGAGCTCTGCCCAAAACGTTTGCCACACTGCCCACAGGCATAAGGCCGGACACCATCGTGGGCTCGCTGGTGCTGAAGGAGGTGGGAGTGTTGGCTGAAGCTCTTCCCACAGGCTGGGCACTTGTAGGGCCGCTCACCCGTGTGCATACGCTGGTGTTTGATGCAGGTGGAGCTGTCGCTGAAGATCTTCCCACACTCGCTGCACACATAGGGTTTGAGCCCGGTGTGGATGCGCTGGTGCTTGAGGAGGTTGGAGCTCTGGCTGAAGCTCTTCCCACACTCGGCACAGGTGTAGGGTTTCTGGCCCGTGTGGACCCGCCGGTGCTGGATGAGATGGGAGCTCTGGCTGAAGCCCTTGCCGCACTCCCCGCACAGGAACGGGCGCTCCCCAGTGTGCATTCGCTGGTGCTGGATGAGGTGGATGCTCCGACTGAAGCCCTTGCCACACTCAGAGCAGATGGTGGGCCGCTCTGCGCGAGGGGCTCGCCGTGAGGCTGCTGCCACCCTTCTCACCCGTCTTTTCACCAGGCTGATATCAGAGCAAGGCAGCTTCGCCTCCTCTTCCTCCTCACAGCCACCTTGCTGAGCCTCTGAGGAATCATGCCGGCTTCCACGGCTGTCCCCCAGCTGTTCCTCTCCTCCTCTGGAGCCCACTGCCAACATGTCCTGCAGATCTGCACTTGTGAGGTGGTCTGGAAGGGGACTTAACTCACCACCTGGAAAAAAAGTATGGCTCTGTGATTCTTGCCGGGAAGTGGCACAGCAGAGAACGGGCAAGCCGGTGCGCCAGGGAGCCTGGTCTGCACTGTGTAGGAGAAGCAGTAAAGGGAAGCCTGGGAGCAAATGGAAACCTAACTACAGGGAGAGGCTGTATGGCCTCATCATGCTACCCAGAGCAGACGTGCCACAAAGAGCAGAGCCAAGGGCAGTGCTACAGGTGACTCCTTGCCTCCAAATCTACACATTTTGTCTTCTTATTATTCTGTCTTCTTATACAAACTCTTAACAGCAGGCTGACAAGGGCAGGCGGTCTCCCTGCCCTGAGGAGGAAAGAACAGGTCTTGATATGAGATGCATGAAATAAAGTGGCTTAAATAACACTGAGGCAGCTCAAAGAGCATTTTGCTTGGTTTGTGTTTACAAGCTTATCTAACTTATTCCTCACCCATGTGTGTCTCCTCCAAGGCCTCACGATCTTGTTCTTCTCCTTGGTCCATCCAGGCAGTCACGTCAGGTTCAGCAATCAGGAATCCTTCTTAAAAAGCAAACAAAAGATATCTTAGTTGAATATTCAGCAAGAGCTTGTCCTATGTCTTAACACTTACTACCCCTGCTGAATATGGTGAATGAGCAGAGTAGGTTGCATAAAAGAATGGAGTCAACTGAACAACATGGACATCCTGTGCACTACTGAGGTATTTGGTGTCAGATACTTTAGTTAAAGGAGATTCCAGGTTGCCCCCCTTCTGATGAGAGATATACATTAGGACCACACCAGACATGCTGGTTGACAGTATCACAGACAGAGGTGTAAGCAAAGAGCAAAACCCAGCCATACTTACATTCCTCTAATAACAGCCAAAAGACTAACTACTCTCCTAAGATTATTTTAAATGGAAAATGACTCTTTAGTCACCAGACCATGATTTTTTCACTTGCTACCTCATCTCTTCTTTCTCCTCCAAGACTCTCAGGCTGAAGCAGCAAAACCCAACAAAACTGGCAGTTTGATGTCTTGTCTACTCTAGCTGGATTCTGTTGAGCTCTAACTGCCATGAACGCAACTGTTGAGCAGAGTGCTCTTAAAAATGCCATCAGCTCCAAATAAATATTTTTTTCCTTTAGTGTTTACTATTTTAAGGCCAAAACCAGCCAAACAGTAAGCAATAGCAGTTAGCATCAAGAGGGCAGGCATCAGCAGTTGCTGCAGAAAAATGAAGAAGAACAGAGAAAATAACAATGGTAAGAAAAATCCCACTTTATTTTAAAAAGTAGTCATCAAAGATGACAGGGAAAGGATACCACATGGATGAATCTAGGACCAGAGACTGACGTGCATCGCAGCTGAAGCTGAGATCACTTATGAGAATATTTTGAAAGGAATTAAAGAACTAATTCCTCCCCCACTCCCCCTTTAATCTTTATAGTTACTTAATACTAGTTTGCAGCACTTCAAAAATATATTCCCTGAACTGTGCTTCAAGCTACTAATCTCTCTGGACAACTGATACCTCTGGACAACTACTCAAGCTCCAGACAGAATTGACTGACTGAACAGCTGGGCACTGGCACAAACCAACGCTGCCAACTGATGGAACACTTCATCCATCACCAACAGCTATTTAACGACAGGTAACAGGTAATAAGGGATTAGATATTGTCAGAATCAAGGAGACAACTCAGATAAAGGGAACAGTTTTGGATACTGGATGCCAGCGATTACAAAGCCACCAGTCTTTAAGTCTTTTATTCTGTGTGGCAAAGCTGGACAGAAGAAAGGGAGCAAGCAAAAGAGAAAGACTGCAATCTTGAGCTGCAGAACCATGAAGAAAAAAATAATCAGATAAGAAAAAAAGAAGCTTTAAAAGTTAATAGTCTGAGTCCCTACTTTAAATATTTGCTGAATGCTGAAGTGGACCACCCCGGCAGGTGGATCATTTCTGGCAGTACCAAGCCAATATAGAAAGGCAGGTTGCCTTCTGCAGCCCTATAGCTCTCAGGACTCTGACGCTACCTAGAATTCCTGCTGCAACAGTTTGGCGGACCTGCTGCAATACGTACCAGATGGCCCACCCCCAGGCTAGAGCAGGAGTCGTCAAAACGCAGTCCACGAACAGACCTTTCTCCCAGGCAGCTCACCACGAACAGCAGGGTTGCTCTCCAAAGCTGTCAACAAACAGGAACTTTGGAGGAGCAAATCCCTCAGCATTTCAGAGGTGGCACCAGCATCTGACAAATGTCCAACGATCGCCACCGGGGGAAACATCTAAGCAAGCAGACAAAGCAGAAGGAAGAGTTCCCTTCTGGCCCTGAAAAAGTATCCTAGCTCGGGTTGCCACTGACACACTGCTGCTACACTCAGGTTTGCTATGGCCGCGCAGCAGAGAGCAGATAACCTTCATACAGTTAACAGGCTACTCTGGAGTAAGAGAGTTTTCTTCCATTCCCCCGATCACACTTTGTGAAAGGAAGGGACAAACCTCATCAACAGAGGGGACACTCCTGCAGGGATTTCATCTGTTACCAGCAGAAGCATATCCTTGGGCATATCAGGTTATTGCTTGAATGTGGGAACTGAAACAGGAAGAACGTCTGTGTATGTGGAGGTGTGGGGTTACCGTAGGCAACACCCACAGCTTTACTAAACCAAGATAGGAAGGATAGCTAATTTGGACCTCCAGCAGGGGCTTTGCCAACACCCTACACTGTTCCTGGGGCCTTGGCTTTCAGACTGCGATAGCATATATAGATTTTGTAGCTGAATCCTACAAGTTCTGTTCTTTACCTTGGCTACTTATTTTCTCTTCCGACCACTCAGCTCTGTATTCCTCCCATGGCTGTACCAAGCTGTGGAGGTTACGGGACTCATCCTAGTGCAGAGCTCCATGCTTTTTGGTTTCTTGCGCTCCTGAAGCGCTGTCAGGGGCGAAGCGCTCTCGGCACGATCATGCCAGGCAGGACAGCACAAACCTGCAAGTCAGAAGGCAGTATTCAAATCTTCCTCTCCCCAATTGTTATCTGGGATAGATAATGCTTGCAGTAAAATCAAAAGGTGAAGACATTTTTACCACAGAAAACAGTTAATTATATGGCTGCATACGTTCCTCTTGGATGCGAGGAGTGTCCCCTTCTCCGTACCCCCAGATCTGTGGACGAACCACAGCACTGGTCAGTGGCTGCCCTCCTGCCCAGCCCGGGATGCTGGGGGGGGCATAGGTAGACAGTCTTAGGGCGAACCCTGGAGAGCGCTGCCAGCACGCCCGAAGCCAGGCAGGGGGGTGTGCAGGAGGGGCAAAATCACGGTGTTGTTTTGGGGAACAGGGATTTTCCACAGGGCATGGGTGCAAAGCTGCCCGTCTGCAGCAGCGATCAGAGGCAGCGGGTGGCTACTGGGGAGAGGTACGCGGTGCTCTGGGGCCGGGGGAAGGGCGCACAGGCAGGCAGGGGCGGCAACCACAGCAGAGCGGGGTCTGCAAAAGGGGCACGCTGCCCCCCACCTCCTCCGAGCTGCCTTTCTCCTCCTCCGGGTAGCTCCTTCCTCCTCAGGGCCGACAGACAAAGGCTTAAAGCCCTCTCCCGGGGCGGCCGCCTCCCTCGAGAGCCGGCGCGGACCCGCGGGGCTCCCCCGGCCCTGCCCGTCCCAGCTGGCTGCTTTCTTGTGCGGCATTGGGGTGTTTGTTCCCTCGGCCTCACATGGTCAGAATTCTGATCCCGGGGGGCTGCACCTCAAACCAGACAGGGACCGGCCATCTGTGAGACCACAGCTTTTCCTGCCGTGGTGACCTGTATGCTTGACATCTTGTCGTGGTGACATTCGGGTTTCCCTGCCACCTTACTAGGGGACCGGGAATGTGTTTGAACACGGAGGAAGCCTCTCTGCGGCCACCAGCACAGGCAGGAGACAGCAGATGTGCTTCACGAGGCCATAAGAAATGAGCAGCTTTTCCCCTTGGCCCCTATACCCAACTGATAAATACACTGTCTTTCCAGGTGGTGTTTTTTTCAAGCCACGGCTTGCTCCAAGGTGATAATATAGGAAATTACCCAACCTTTCTAGGAGCTAAACCACCCAAATATGTAGTATGTGCTTAGCAGTGGTACAAACAGGCTAGCCATGAGATAAGGACCCAGATGAGGGCACAGAAAGGAGTGTTTTTCCAGGAAACCTGAAAATCTTTCCTACTAACAAAGTGAAAAATACTCTCAAAGCCTCCTGAATCCCTTTCCACTTCAAGCTATTGTTAGCAGGGCACAAGTGATTTGAATTAGTCAGAAACCTTAGTGACTGTGCCCTGAACTGTACAGGAATTGCAGTAAGAGAGAAATGAACGTGTTCAGTGTTGTCATGCTGAGGCTTTGTTTGTTAAGGTTTAAGCATCAATTTGCATTAAAGACTTTTTCTGTTGGAGAAGTGATGACTGATATGGGCTCATTAGACTCACAGTCTATAATTTCACTGTCTGTGGACAGATGGAGAAATGGTCGTCAACAAAATAAGATAGGAATACTGAAATAGAATGAAAAGGAAAACATAGCCCCATCAATTTACAAAACAGTATGAATGACAGGCACATTGCTCTATCCTTGTCATGCTTGTAGCATATAGCACATTTGCTGAGAAGTGTGGAGGGTTGAAGATCAATATGTTCACAATCAAAGTACAAATGCATGCAAAAGAATGAAAGAGGAAAGCAATCCTGGTTGCTGGATCTTTGTCCCTGGAGGTTTTTGAAATGTGGCTAGACAAAGCCATGGCTGACCTGATCTGATGCTGCTGATAATTCTGCTTTGAGCAGGAGGTTGGACTCCAGAGGTCTCTTACAATCAACATTTCTGTGATTCTGTGACAAAGATGTGGGCAATTACGGGTTACCATAGAGGTAGTATCCTTCAGACAATTCAGTAATTGAAAGTTGGTAATTTGGGAGAAATCTTCAGAAAAGGGTTTGGCTGTCTTAAAAATGCACAGAGCAATAGAGTGCACAAAATGGGTAATGTGACCATAGTTCAAGGAAAAGGGAAAGAAGCAAAGTGTCTCCAGGTTGATATAAATGGTAAGCCAGCATTTACTAGATCACTATTAAAATAGAACTGCCTGAATCTAGACAGATGCTATTGAAAAAGTTCTTGCATTTCAAAATAGCTGTATTAATTCAGAAATGCCACCATGTCAAGACTTGGCTCCTTTTTTTACTACTTCAGAGGAATCTCATTGTTTGAGGATTGAACTTCAGTTGGCTGGAGATTTGGAAGTTCCCATTTTTTTTCTTTTGACACAGCCAATTTATCAGTTTTAAAAGGTTCTATGCTTTTCGTATTGAAAGTATTTGGTCTTTAAAAAGCCCACAATGTTTAAGTAGTTGAAATGACCAAACCCTTTTGTCTAATGAAGAGCTTGTTGGAGAAAAGCAATGAAAAAGCCCTGGTGAGAATGACAGTAGATAAGGACAAGTACTACATATGGGAGTAACTGTTTTTCCCTTTTGCATTGAGCTCTAGCTAACCTTCAACTTTACTGTCCTCTTGGTATTGTAGTGCCAAAAGGAGTGCCATACCTACCCAAGAGCCTTTACAGTAATTCACTTACACTCAGCAAAACTGCCACCTGAATAGAAGGAAGTTTACTAAAGACATCTGAAGGATTGTGGCTGCCCACTGAAGATTGTTTCTTAAACTTACGTATTGATCAACCATTTTCACCTGCACCGAAAGAGCTTTTGGTGCAGAGTGAGACATGAATCACTCATATGTAGAGCACTGACACTCTACACAGCTGCTAAAAGAGAAATAAACAACGAGAACAGTTTGCTGTCTTACTTTCTTCAAGCCCATTTGACAGGAAACTCTATTCCAAGTATTTCAGCTCCATCAACACATGCAGTTTTTCCCAGCCTAGAGAGATTGCTTGTTAACACTGCAAAAAGTTAAGTGCAGTGTTTCCAAGAAGATAATGACAGCCTTTGGTATGGATGTGAAGTATTAAAGCTTTTTTTTTTTTTTTTTCCCCCAAAAATGATTTCTGATATGGGAATTACAGAATCACAGAGTGGTTGAGGTTGAAAGGCAGCTCTGGAGATCATCTAGTCAAACCCCCTTGCTCAAGCAGGGTCAGCCAGAGCAGACAGCCCAGGACCATGTCTAGTTGGGTTCTGAATATCTCCACATCTCCATTACATTTCAGGGGAAAAAAATGACACTAAGCAAACTACTGCCAGATTGATTGAAAAATTGGAAAGCAAACAGTTACTATATCAATGCTAAAATGCAACTGCCCCAATCTAGGCATGTGTTCGTGGTAAAAACAAGCGAACAAGCAAACTGCCGAACAGTGTAGCAGCATCATGGTGTCATGTTCCATTTTTCAGTAGTTCAGGGCAACTTCATTGTGTTTTAAGGATACACATTCCTCAGATTATGGTACGTATTAGTATTCTGAGAAGATTCCATTTTATGGTATTTATATTGTGCCTTGGTAGTAACTGCTGCTTTGAGCTTCTTGCATGGAATCAAATCTGCTGGCAGCCTTAAAAATCGATGCAGGAAGAGCTTTCTGCCAGGAGACTCAGGGACACCTATGACTGGAACTAGATCAGCCACCAAAGCTATTACAAACACATGATTGGGGTAGCCCACAAATAGCTATTTGTTGCCACAAACTTCTTGCTAAGTTTGATTCAAGTTTACCCAAACTGGCTAAATTACGGAAAGAAAAAAAAAAAAAAAAAAAAAAAAAAAAAAAAAAAGGTGCATATCCATGGATCTGCTATTTTTAATGTGTTATCTTGTTTTAAAATGTTGATACGGACTGCCTTTTTGAAGAACTTGACCTCAATGTTCTTGGCCAATTACACATGCGATGCAAAATTAAAGTTATGTTTCACCACTTACTTTGGCAAGTAACATGTAGCTGAGGAGATTTACTCTATCTGATGTTTCATCTTCCCTGTAAAACCACAATAATCATTGGGGGTTTGCCTAGGTGCACTCTTGTAAACCAGCAGTCTGTAGCTGACATGCATGAAGGTTAGTGTAAGGAAACTGTGACAGACCCCTCCCTCATGCAAAACGGTCAGTAGCTGTCATTGTGTGATTTTTAAGACTTCCTAAGTAAAACAGAAGGAGATAAGGAAAAAAAGCCTTTGTAAAGGAGTGTAACAGCTGGGGGAGTAAAATCAACCGGTGAGTAAGCAGAGGCATTCCCAGCATTGAGTAACCAGAAAAAATTAAGAGAGGACTATAAGAAAGAACAAGCAAACACTCCTGTGTCAATCTCAATGTGAATTCATTGGAGACAACCCTCAAGCTTCTCAGGCCTCCCAGACACCCGGCCAGTGGACTGGTTGTTAACAGAGGTTATGTTTTATGTGCTTAGGTACGTCGCCTGTTAAAGGAGTGACTGCCTTTATCGCAGCTGCTGATTGCTTAATTACCCGTTACCTAGATTTATTGCTTTGGCTATGCTCTTACAAAACCAAGTCAGGGCGAGGAAGTAGAGAAAGCCCCGACTGAAAAGCAGCTGGGAAACTGCACTGAAGAGCCTTTCAACAGATGCTGGATTTTATCACACCTTTAGCAGGCAGCTTTTTACCTCCCTGTGCAGCCTGTTTCCTTACCACGGGAAGGAGACTGCCTCCCGTGAGATGGCGGCAGGTAGATGCTTCTCTGTGTGAGCAGCATGGTGCCCAAGGACTGGTCTGGCCCTCGAGTGCCCGTTTGACGTGACTGTGGGCAGTTCCGCGCTCTTTTGTTCAGTGGTCCCCTAATGTGTCATTGACTGAAGGATTAGGCCTGACCGATGACCCCTCTGCTCCCCAGTATCTAGGAATAACCGACAGTTTCGAAGGCTCTGTGATAAAGGACTTCTCAAAAGCGCTCAGCGACATCAAACAACGATGCTTCTCACAAACAGGAGCACCACAGTCCACTCCTCGCCCCCCTCCCCGGACGAACCGCAGCCCTCAGGTCGCGCCGGTGGCACTCCCACGGCTAGTCCCTGCATTTCGGGCGAGCTCACCCGGCTCCCCTCGGAAGGGCCCGAACCTCCGCCGTTTCCCCGTTACCGCCGCAGAGCCGGGCAGCGGCCCCGGACACGCCGCCTGGCGGCAGCAGCAGCAGCAGCAGCCGGCCCGCCCGCCTGCCCCGGCACCGCCGTACCCAGAGCCTCCCGCGCGCAGGGAAGGAAAGGTGGCGATGAGGGGGGAAGCAGTTTGGAGAGAGCAGTGTGTAAAGTGTGAGAGATGAGAAACCAGGCCTGCAAGAAACTAAGAACAGCAGCCTGGGAAAGCAAAAGTTGAGGCTGATCAAAGAAATGCCTCAAACACTTGCAAGACAAAACTATGTATCACAGGGTGTATTCTGTGCAGGTCGAAGCTGATGAGGCTGCCCGAATACCACAAGATGCAGCTAAAGAAGGGAGCTCTGTGGAGACAGGACAGCCCTGCTCTGGGGCACCTGGGCAAATTTCAAGGGCCATGTGTCCAGTGAATGAACTTTGCTTCATTATCCATGAAATGCATATTAAAGTTAATGCCCCCCAATTGCTAGCAAAGTCTAACATGATCATGCTAATTACATCATCCCATAAAGCACCTTACCCCTCCCCATCCATGGGATCTGTAGGTATGTGGGTCAACCT